CACTACCAGCTGCCACAAAGCTTCATCTCCACCCTGCTAAAAAGAGGGCAGCAGCAGTTATTATGGAAGAATACAAGATGGGGCTATATCCCCATAATGAAAGGTTCACAGTAATGAACAACATCAAGATACATTCTTTATGACATCATTTTACTCATTAAACAAAAAATCCAAACCAACCAAAACCAGTAGGAAGTTAATTTAAGGTGGGCTTTTCTTTAAGGCAATTTAAGTAATAATTACTATCCTCATTTAGATAGGATTAGCTGTAACTTTGGTAATGTTCGTTATAATTAAATGTTGGTTTAAATGAATCTAAAATATTTGCAGCCCATTTGGGTTGAGAAGTTTTAATATGAGGGTAAAGTTTGCATCTAGGATCTGTGGAGAGTGATTAGATTGAGAAACACATAGGAAAATTGTAGTCCAGTCAGGGAATAAGCATGCTGAATTAATTTTAAGCCTTCTCTCAAGGTACCAGGCAAAAAGCAGTTTTAGGTCTGATGTAACTGGGTGGTGAAGAATGGGCTTCTGTGTAGGAGTAGCTTAATGAACCTATTAAATATGACAGAGACAAGACTGACCAGGAGCAAGTGGATGGGAAAAGTGACTTGAGTCTCTCTAGCTTGTGGGACAGCCATAGCTCAGGTGTAGAGATTGGGGAAATGCTGTGTCACTGTTTATTTGTCAAATATGCTGCCTCTGGCCATGGGTAATACCAAGTGCTTCAGGGAGAGGAAACTTCTAATAGGGGCCAGTATGCTGCAAATAAAGCTTCTTTCCTGTAGCAAGCTGTCATCATGCAATAGTAAAATTCTGTGATGCTTTTGTGGTTTTAAACCTGGCTGGAGATGGAAAACCACACTGCTGCCCACTCAACTCCACCTCTCTTCCCCTAATCATGGTGGAATGGGGGCAGAATCAAGGTAAAACTTGTATGTTGAGATAAGAACAGTTGAATAATTGAAAATAAAGTAAAATGTAATAATAATGGTAAATAATATTAATAATAACGATAATAAAAAGATGTAAAACAAGTGATGTCCAATGCATTTGCTCACCACCCACTGACCAATCTGTCACTGTCATTGACTTCCCTTCTCAAAACTGGATCAGCCCGCTCTTTTGGATTACTCCCCCCAGTTTATATACTTGGCATGACATTCTCTTCTTTTGGTCTGTACAGGTGACCTGTGTCCAAGCTGTGCTCCCTCTCAATTTCTTTTGTGCACCACCTCACTGGTAGAGTGTGAAACAAGTGAAAAAGAAATAAGAGTCCTTGACTTAGTTTAAAGACAACTTAATAAAAACCCAAAATATCAGTGTGCTATCAATACCATTCTAATTCTAAATCTAAAACATGGCACTGTAAATATATATATATTCATCTCACGCTGTTAATTATTATTCTATTATTTCAATTATCGTGTATAAATTAGTAATGGAGTAGCATGACAGAAGACAATAATCATCATATACAGCTGGATTTAATTTTGATGCAAAGGGCCTGTTGCCTCACACACAAGAGAATATCTAGGGGATTCCAGCCCATGTAAAGGATACTGATCTCAAAGAGAGGAACATTCTTAGTGGTGTCACAGCACCTGAAAAGGCAGCACCTTTTGTGGCTCCGTTAACTCAGTTTCCCCTGATACCAAGTGATAATGTAGCCTGGCAAGTAATGAGGTTTCAGGCTTCCATCTCCTACTTTCCCCTCTCTTCCCCAATTCCTGCAAAATCTGCAAAAGGAAATGTGCATCCATTTCTATTCTCAGCACGTGGCTAGTAGTTGTTTTCAATTTTCTGGTGTGCTCCTTTGGCAACACCTAGCAGAGGGATAGGGCTGGTAAGGCATGGAGGACAAGGAAGCCACTGCCCATCCTTACCCAGGAGGGAATGCAGAGTTCAGGGGTCACTGTGCTTTGCAAGCAGGACACCCATCTGGCAGTGATGGTGAGAGGAAGCTGGGTCCCTGTCCATCCTCTGAGAGCTGCTCTGTGTCCTGAATGGGTTGATAAAGGATGGGACCTGTCCTCACCTGCTTCTCTGTGGGCTCCAGGGAGGCACCCTGCTCTGAGCCCATGGGGAGATGGGGATGAGTGCCTGCTCCCTGAGCTCACTTGGATGTCTGCCCAGCCCGAGCTTCCTAATCATGAGAGCAGATCCAGAGGTGGCTGGAGGGGACTGCCTAAAACAGGGGGTGATCTGCGGGCTACAGGATGGTCAGACTGGCAGGACACTAGGAGGGTGGCAGGACACCAGAGGGAAGAGCAAGTGTTTGAGTCCTCTCCTTAGATGCAGCTCCCAAGCAAGGTGGGAAGGACCAACAGAGACTTACTGGCTGATGCAGGGTGCTGTGGCACAGGCAACTAAAGCCCTCAGCAGAGGAAAGGATATTTTAAACACCTCAGTGCTGCAGGGCAGGACTCCCCCATACCTTTCTCCTTTCTTCCTCTGCACTGTCTGAGCTTTCCCAGGGGCAGGGTGATGGCTGGGGGCTGGCAGGACAGTCCCCTGTCACCTTTCCTTTTCCCGCACAGCTGTGCACAGCCAGCCACTATTTGCTCTGAAATATTTGTTTTGAAAAGTGACTCTAGTGAGGTGATGCCGTGCAGAAAACACTTCAGAGTTGTTTGGGGAGCAGCAGCAAGATCTTAAGTAAAGCTCTTTTTGTCAAGTAAAGAAGTACAAGGACAGGAATGGATAATGTAGGAATAACTGAAGATTAGAGAAAAAGAAAGGCAAAGCCTCTGAGATTTGACCAGGAAATCTCTCTTTTTTTCAACAATATTGTCCTACTGTGTAACTAAATTGTGAAAATACTGCCATCATCTGGATGATTAAAAATATAATCCTTATTTTCTTACTACTGTTTGGGAAAAAAAAAAGAAGAAAATAATAGCAAATTTCTGCCTAAATGAAAATTTCACGTAATCACAACAAAGCAAAACCAACTAGTTTTTGAGATGGAGGACCATGGCTCTACCTGTGATAATCTATGGTTGTAATGATGCCAGACTTAGAGAGCAATTCAGCTCTGTGTTAGGAGCTTCTCTGTAAAGCAGAGGGAAGAAAACTTTAATGAAGCATAAAGCGCTTTTCTGTCCTAAAAGCTCTTATAAAGCTTGCCTAATTTTGAGATAAATTAAAACGAAATGTATGAAGCATTATAGTTTTCTTCTGAATGTAATCTTTCTGGAGGTATGTTTTTTCAGACTTGGAACCTGATTTTTAGATTTAATTTCCTCTACATTCCTTCTTTTCCTATATTTCTTATGTCCAGTGACAGCAAAACTTGTAGGTGTTTATGCATTAAAAAGTTACTAGTATTAAATTTTGTCACAGCCTGAAATCTCATCCCTACTTTGAAGCATAAAACTTGTAAAAATTAGTGTTTCAAATACTTTTAGGTAATGTACAAAACTTGGTTCTGCATATTACATCTGTACTCAGTAACAAGGCAGAGGCTTAATTACAATTTTAAATATGAAGGATCCTTTCATGCATGTACTTCAGCAAGTTTGTTAAATGAACTGAACCTTTGTTGAGTTCTTAAATTAACAAGGGTATAAATGACTTGAAGAAGGGAAGCCTGCTTTCTTTTTTTTTCCATTAGAGAAAAGCACAACCTTCCTACATTAAAAAATAAACAGACTTATTAATTCCTTAACATTTGAAGTCAATCCAAATGGCAACCTGCCAAGATAGATAAAACAAGGAAACTCCATATTTTATATTCATTCCTACTAATCAAGAAAATATATGGCTCTCCAAGGAGGGCTGTGAAAATGTCTTGGGAATACTAAACAGACAAACTGTGTATTTTCAGAAGGAATCTTTCCACAAAGGGTCTTGATTACCACAGCATCATATCATCAGCAAGCTTCAAAGGATCAGCTCTCTACTGTCTTTCTGAAACTTGGAGTTGTTGACCGAATTTCATTTGCCATGTCTGTATTTAGTATAAAGTACATTTCTTACATTCAGGATATCACATGCACATATGCATATACACGTATAAATTATAAGAATAAAGAGGAGAAAGGGAGGAACTTAAATCTAAAATGCTGGTGGCTCCAGCAGGATAAAATCTGTGAATGTGATTTCAATAATTTATCCTCATACATTAACCCACCATTTGCTATTGCATATTTGTTTAAGAGGAATTTCCTTACCAGTCTATATAAGTTCAGCAGTCTGAAATAGATTAACCTTCCTCATACATAGAGCAATTGGGGAATAACTCGTAGCCAAAAGGTAGTAAATACGAATCAATATATTTTTACAAAAGGTGATTATCAGTACAATAGAGAACACAATGTATCCTTCAGGGGAGGACAGAGGTGGTATGGACAATGTCATTATAAACTTGTGTAAGCCCAGGTGAGATAACCCCTATAAACTACAGGAACTTTCTTGTCCCAGAGATAGGTGTACAAACACCACAGAAGTTAGCAAAGCTCAGAAAACAAATATTGGGAACTGTGCTTAGTTGTGTTCATAGATAATACTGATAATACTGAAAAAAGTCAGAGATAGAATAGAGGATAAGAAAGTCGGGAAGTTTGAATTTTAGAAATAAATAGCATAAGCTTGGCTTTGAAAAAAATGTTAGCTTCCTACTGTCTTTCTCAAGGACATCATTATTCCAAGTCAAGTGAAATACTGTGTTAGGGATGTTGGAATAAGGGAGTCCTGGGCTGTTGTGTATGAGCTAGGCATGTGGGAGTAGCTGTGATGTGACCATGGGGCAATGAGTTATGGGGTTGGTAGTGCTTTGAAAAAGATCAAACATCCCTTTGTTTTCTGCTAAAAAAATGTGGGGAAGGAGTTTGTGGCCATACATCTGTGGAGGATTGTTGGGTTTTTTTTGCAATAAATTTATTTTGACAATAAATATTTGCATTCTGAAGGATAAATTGTTCTGTTTTGAGAAGCAACTTTGTTTTTGTTTGTGGTACTTTAACAATTTTTCCCTGCCTCTGCTTTTTTTTTTCTACCTGACTATTGCTGCTTAGAAACAGCCAGGCATCCCTGCAGGTCCAGCTGCCTACACTGGGAAAAAAGAAGTTTCACAGTCATCAGAGGTGAGGAGCACCCACAGTGCCTCCTGTGCAGGAAGAGAACTGCTGCCCCATCCATGTGGTGAAACGGACACAGGGCACAAAGCATTTCTGTATCATAACAGGAACACAAATAGCAGTTTGAGGTGTCCATCATTTAAATTCTAAGTATTTAAGAACAAGATTCAGTTGTCCAAATATTTATCCAAAACTTTTTTATCACAAAAATCTGACATTTATTTAGTTTATTTATTTATTCACATTTATTCTTTTCCTCTGACGTCAGTGCAGTGTTTAGGATTACTAAATTTTCAATTGATATATCCTAATTCAAAATAAAAAATCTAATGGATATCCTAATTGAAAATATAAATTCTAATGGGATGCATTCAAATCTCTGTGTCTTTTACTGTAGCACACCCAGTAGTGCTCTTTTCTACAGAATATTTTACACTAAAATAAAATAACCAGCTTATGCTTCCATCATTTCATATTCCACTAAAAATGCATCAAATATGGAGCATATATCACTCTGATTACAGACAAATAATTTTTGATTTCAGTTACCAGTTCTTCACAAAATATCTGTGTTTGACAAGAAAAACACACAGCTTAGCAGCTCACTTTAATGAGAAGTAAACTGAGACATTTTGAGCTGTTTCTGTTGGTAGTATTCAGAACTACTTGGTGTCTGTCCTACACTCCTATGCTGGCCATTTAAAGCCAGAGCTGTTTATTTGGATATTTTTAAGTCTCTCAGCAAACCTTACATGCTTTTTTATCTTAGAAAAATGAACTTGCATAGAAGCACCTGAAGAGAAACATGGAAAAGATCTGACTGAGGGATGGAAGGCTTTAGTTTCCCTGTGTCTCATTCATTTACCCATGACACAATAGTGAAGAAGTTGAACACCCAAACCCCACAGATTTACTGAGTGCATCCTGCCACTTTGAAAATAACAATAAAATTAACAAAAAAAAATATCAAAACAAAACAAAAAAATATCCAGTGAAACTATATATGTCAGGAGAAACAGTAGTTCATAATAAGTCCATAAACATCTCAAGAAAATGTGCTGCTTAACTGCTGGCTGTGGACAGGCTTGCCATGAAAATGGTATTGGTGGTGGGAGCTCCAGAGCTGGCACGTATCAGCCTGCCCCACAAGCTGCTCTATGCCCCTGGACTATGTGTGATGCCCTTGGTACCCTGAGCTGATTAGGACCCTTAAAATCCACGAGCTGGATCTTCTAAACTAATTTTATTTTTAAACCCCGTAAAATATTGTTTTAAGACAGTTTCTTTCTGCATAAATATTAGAATTCTCTACCTTTACTGATCACAGTTCTCTTTTTCCCTTTTACTCACAAGGTATTCTTGGGCTGGAGTTGAATGCATCCCTCATCAAGTCACCTCTGTGCAGGGCATGGTGTCCTTTCCACAGCATCCCAGCAGCCTTCTTGGCTCCCATCCCACAATCCTGCTGGCATTGGAGACTGCATCCACCCTCTTTGCCAGGTTCAGATGAACTCCTCTGCAGCAGCATTCAGGTTGGATGAGAAGGAACAAGGTTCTTCATATCAAACTAGATGGTGCAAAACTATGAAGACATCAGAAAAAAATCTTGCTTCTTTGACAGAAGTAACTCTCACAATATTTATTCAAGTCAGAGAGAGCTTCTTCACAAGTACATTGTTGTATTAATGTATTGCTTGCAATATTTTCTTCTTTTTTTTTTTTTTGATGGTTGACTAAGGTTGGAGGGGACTAAATAATACATTATGACATAAATCACTATAAGAATGATACATCTGCAGTGATCTATTCAAACTGCCAAGCAGCATTATAAAACTTTCCTTATATTTAACTAGTTCTTACTTTTTAGTAAAGCCTGAATGCTCCAAATTAAAGAGACAGGGGTTTTGTTTAAAGGGAGATGGAGGATGGTTCCTGATTATGTGCTTCTTGCTGAAACCAGATATTTAATGTAAACTGTGGCTGACAGTTTTGAGCAGATGGCAGTTCCAGGGATCAAACTGATCACAAGGAAAACATTCAGAAAACATCATCTCCTTGTTGAAATATAGTGCATTCACAAGGAAATTGTAAAATTACTGTTCCACAGACAGGAATAAAATCATCCTGGGTGAAGTTTTAAAACAGCCTTTAGGAAGCTTGAGTTTTGCCAAAAGTCCCAAGATAAAATTGTACATAGTACAGATGCTATGAAGGATATCTTCTAATAGGGGTGCCTGAATCTGCAAAAGAAGGAATGCTAAAGGGAGATGAGAAAAGAGCAGAATGCTTAAAACCTCTGTGACAAAAGAACATTCTTATGCTCCAGTTCATTAGTAACCACCTGTGAATGATGCTACTCCAAGAAGGAGCAGCGAAAGCAACCCATCCCTGACAGCCTTTCTAAACATTGTACAGCCTGTCTTAATCCACTTCTCTGGGCCTTTTGAGGAATTAAACTAAATATATATTTTTATTTAATTAAAGTGTACCTTCAGTGCAGAGGTGTGGTTTGACTGTTCAGTGCATTGAGCCCTGAAAATTGATATGCAAAATTCATTTTAATAGAGCGAATGCATATTTTAGTGGACTTTAATTAAAGGATTTCTGCAAAGCTAAACGGATTGGACATGCCTTTTTCTTAGTTTATTAAAAGATTAAAAAAAAAAAAAAAGAAAATATTGTATTTCATGAATCTGTACATTTTTGTCTTTTTCTTGCTTGTCCCATATCACATGTCTAAGTCTACTCTCTCAGCTATATTGATGAGTTTGTGTCTTTGAAAATAATATTAATTTTAAAAAGTTATCAAAACTAATCCCTTACTTTACTTATTGTCCCACAATTTTATCAAAACCTTATTGCTGTTTCTATTTCTCACCATCATTGTTTGGAATAATAGAAAAGCAGAGTAATAGGAAAACGACCACCAGGAACCAAAGGAATTCAATATTTATAGTAGAAGTTTCTGTCTTTGGCAAATGTAACACATTTCTTAGCATACAAATACTACTGATATATGAATGAGCATGCTTTCAGCATGAGCATGAAACAGGGAAATGTCATCTATACCAAACATCCACATATTCTGTAATTTGGGCTGTATGATAGTTTTAATAATCAGTAATTATTGTTAAACAATAATTTTAGAAACATCTACAGTTTTATTTTTACAATTCTCTGAACTTATTAAAGAAAAATGAGTTTTCAAAACTTTGAAAATCTCATTCTTTTTTTTTTTTTTCTTTTTAGTAAGATGCAGAGGGCAAGTGTGTAAAAAGGACACTCCTAACTGCCAAAAGGAATTTCATCCAAATCTCGGCAAGATCAATGGTGAATGCAAGTAACATTTTCCTGAACATTTGTTAGAAATATGTGAAATTAACTGCTGGCTTCCTTTTTGTGTTGGACAGATGTGTTTACAAACTACTAGGAAAAGGAATTTAGTTGGCAGCAAATTTAACACAAAAGTGTTTAACACGAAGATGAATAGAAAATGTGTATGGAGACATCTTAGAGCACTTTGCAGGCACTACAGGAGTGAAGGCAGAAAGTCACTTTTCTGAGTTACTTCAGCTTTTGAACATGTATGAAAATTGACTCTAAATTATTTTTCAGATTACTTTCTATGTATATTTTCCATTAATATTTTAAAGAGATATCCATTTAATATCTAGACAGCATGTATGCGGACTGATCCTAAAAGAGAGATGCAGAAAAGGGATTTGAATAAGGAGGCTGTTAATTCTTCAAAAGTTTTTATTAGCATTTTGCATTTTCACCTCATTAACAATGATAAAGTTATATTACAGTAAATTAAAAAAAATAGATGGGAAAGAAGAAAACCATAAGCACATTTAAAAATTATTTCAAAACATGAATGAAACGGAGCAAGGTGTTGGATGTACTGCAAAAGACAAAAAATACAACATTGTCTCGTGGCTCATAGTCCAGACTGAGTATACTGGTAGAATATTTAAAGCTACAAAGCCACTATGAATCAAAGAATCATCAGTCAGATATTTTTCTCATCATGCCTCATCCTAATACTGCTGCATCACATTATGAGAACTGAGAGGAAATCAACCACACAAAATCCCAGTAAAGTAAAAGACAACATCTCTTCAGACTTCTGTATTAAAACAGATATTTTTATGCCATGTCTTTGGTTTGATGATAGCTGCCATAAAGCACTTCAGTAATGAACAGAAATAGAAAATTAAATACAGGATCTCCCTTTCATATGTCTCCTTATTAAAGAAACTTTCAAAGTCATAAAATGACAGTATTGTCAACTTTCATTGAGGCCAATAGAACATAAGAAAAAAAAGCCCATTGAGCTCATGACTGTCCCTTAAAATCATATTTTTGTGCCATAAGGATATTGCTGTTTCTTGCGGTAAGCATTAAATTTCTAAGTGGTCAATAATGTTCTTTCTTTTTGTTGAACAGTGGGCTAGACATTTCAATATATTTAATTTTAAAACATTTTAAAATTGAAGTTCTGTAGTACATCAAGTATTCTGATTTTAAAATTGAAGTTCTGTAGTACATCAAGTATTCTGCTTTATAAGGCAATAAAAGCTTTAAGGAAGACATTTCAAACTTCCACAATAAAAGCAACTAAACCCTAATACCAGTATTGCCACAGAGAACTGAGGTTTTGTGTAATAGCTTAGGTTGATGATTTCAGCCATAATTGGAAACATCTTCCTGGGTTTCTTGACTTTTGTAAACTACTTCAGGAAATCATTCCTTTTTGAGTGGGTGAGGAAGATGTTTAGAAAGAAATAAAGTGCAAAGTCCACAAAATATTGTCTATTGGCAAAACAGAAGATGGCAAATGAACCAAAGAGTTTAGCCACTAAAATACACACCATGAGCACAGGAAATATCCTCAAGATGCCTGTCACAGGTGGGTGCCTGGCAGGACTTCTGCTCATGCACAAAACAGCTGTCCTGTTGTCATGCTCTGTGATGCTCAGCCTTGTCTCTAACACAGTCTTTCCTACAAGATTCAGTTTAATAATCTGTTTGCCTATTTCCTGTGGCTGACCCAGTCCAGGAGGTGAGCTTGGGCTATTCTCCATGTTTGCTACCCTGGGCTCCTGACAAAATGTTGCTGTCACATCCCATTTCATTTGAAACAGCATCTCTCTAACTTTGTTTTACTGTACTACTCACTCCTTCATTAGTAGCTTTTTAATAGAAACTTGTATTTAGTGAATTAGTGCAGAAGGCATCCAAATCCATATTCCACATTTAATGAGTGCTTCAAAAGGCTAAGCAAGAAGGCAGTTAGGATTTAAGTACTCTATGGACTCTTTGTTGAAGCCCTTCTAGAGGAAAAAAATCAAATTCTTATGGCCATGCAGCTGAAGCACAGTAAGCATACTTTAAAAGGGACAGAAGTATATAATTATACATTTAATGTTTAATGCATATTCAATTTAACTCTGAAGATTTAAGTCCAAAATGGGTCAATCTACTAAAGACCTAAATGTAAAAACATTCGTTTTTGTGCTTTATCCCAGACTTTATGTTCTGAACCCCTACTGGGGTCAAATACCATAAGAGGCTAGGGCCTATAGTCAAAAATTAAAGTAGTAGCAAAAGAGCCCAGATGCTGAGGAAGACTCTTTAAGCTGAGTTTTATCCGCCTGCATTTTGCTATGTAGGTTCAATATGCTACGTCCTCATAGCGTATCACTGAATTATAACGTGTTTCGTGTTTAAAAGGACTAAAAAGATCCTTTAGTTCCAAGCCCCCTGCCATTGGCAGGGACACTTTCCACTGGAACAAGATGCTCAAAGCTCCATCCAGCCCAGCCTTGAGCACTGCCAGAGATGGGGCATCCACAACTTCTCTGGGAAACCTCTTCTAGTGCCTCAACACCCACACAGTTATGGATGGCTTCCTAACATCCTAACAAGGTATCTTCTTTCATCTTAAAGCTGTGCTTCTTCTTGAGTAGATCTGAACCCTTCTTATTCTCTAAGAAGTCAGCTTGTAGGCTATGAATGTGCTACAAATAATCCAGTTGGAAATGGTATTTATACCATTAGGAAATTTTCATAACAGCCTTGCTTCCTGTCTGTCAGAAGAAATGCTTGCAGCAGAGCTTAATCCTCACATATATTAAATCGAAAATCTGCTCTGTAACTTCAGTGGGAAGGTACCAGGGATGCAGATATTGCCCTTTTTGACTTGCACACTGTACAGCAGTGTTCCTCTCATCTTATTTAGCATAAAATAGAAGTATTAATATGGATATATATGAAGCGAGATGTTGAATTCTTAAGAAAATCTCAGATATTTTAATGAACTTTTATAGGGTCCTTCTGCATTCTAACCAAGTGACAGAAGGCAATTTATTCTGGTGAGTGTGACATTATTGAGACTGAAGTAACTCAAAATTTAAGGCACTTCAAAACAAAATCAACAAAAAACATGAAAGAATGAGTAGTGTAGTGGTCCTAGCACAGTGATTGAGGTCAGAAGAATTTCAAAGTTGGTTTTAAGTAAATTCTTCCTAATCCCTAAAGAAGCATAGAAAATTCTTTCTACTAGAAAATGTATCTGCA